CATGTGAGCTACATGCTCGTTTGCCCCCCTCTTCTATAAAAAAGGGGTTGCCTTGGTCTTGTTGCTCCGTTTGCCCCGAGCAGTTGTAGTCTTGAGCGGAATTCGTCCCCCCCCTGCCACAGAATACGCAGTGCAGCCTGAACACCCACGCTCAGGAGTGGAGTACCCTGCTGGGGTAGATCTTCACTTTATTCCACTACCATGTTAAGGGGTTTTGGGCCTCCGGCCACCCGCACTCATCAGACGAAACGCGGAAGCAGATCTTCGACTTCACGCTAGCATTCTGTGAGGTCGTGGTACCACCCCGGTTTGAGCCGGCCCATACGTGCAACAGCAAAGCTGCCGCGTGGCTCTACCACTGTTAAAATTGTTGTTTATGGAGGTAAGGTGGTATAAAAATGCAGCTACTTTGTCTGATGTTAAACTCGTGAAAGTTTCGTCTACGTACCGCTTGTAGAATCTTCGATTTATAACAAAAGCAGTAAGAAGGCTTTCTTCTCAAAGTCTTCCATAAATATATCGGCAACCATGAAAGATACAGGTAAGCATATCTCCACACCGTCTACTTTTTTTTAATATAAAATATTAGTAATCCTATTAACTAGCATTACTAATATTCCCTTTAACCACTCCTAGTAAGTTGAAAATGCTTGTGTTAGGAGTGGTTCAGGACAGTAGTCGAATGGTGGATTCGAACCCGCGAAATCTTGAGTTCGCGGTCCGCGCCCTGCCACTAGGCTACTGTCGCTTGCTTGTGGAACTCCTCCTTCCACAATAGATAGCCAGATGTGAGACAGTGCTAGTTACAATTTCGATACATTCTTCAATAGGTAGGCATGTTAATTGTAACTGAACATCAAAACTGATCATAATTTCATTGTCAGCGAGATGTGGGTCTACTATAGCAATGGATGATGGACGATACGGGAATGTGCATAAGGCCGCAACCTGGTGGTCACCAGGGCGTGTCTGGAGCTGGCACTGGACGTGGCGCCATACGGGCCGACAGCCGAAAGCGAGGTGCTGCACGAACACCCACCAGTATCCTCGCAAGAGTGATTCCTACCAGTTGGCTTAGTGTCGGCAGGATCTTCTCGAACCGAGCACCGATGAATTGTTTCGTGCAGGATTCGAACCCGCGAGTGAATAATAATATTTTTATACGTGGTAGAGCCCTGCTGTAGTTATATTAGTAGTATAGTATAAAAAAAGCGACAGTAGCCTAATGGCAGGGGCGGACCGCGAACTCTTAAAGGTCGTGGGTTCGAATCCACCATTCGACTCCTGGCGTGAACCACTCGTAACACAAGCAATTTCAGCTTATCACGAGTGGTTAAGGGGAATATTAGTAATGTTTATAGCATTGTTAATATTTTTTATAAATAAAAAAAATAGTTGTAGCACGAATGGGTCGACTCGACCGAGGAAGAACCACGCTCTCACAGAATACCAGCGTCAAATATTAGCTTAATGCTGCTGTGTTTCGTATGGTGAGTGTAGAGAACCGGAGACCCTTTTTACTGGAAACGAGGCATTCCATCTTGGTCTTCACGGGTGGCAACGCATCTGCATTTAGGTTCCTAATCGAGGATAAATGTATATAACTATGGGCCACAGCATCCACTTAACATTAGGTGGACTGTGTGCTCGTTTGCCACCCTTATTCTATAAAAAAACTGTTGAAAGTAAGAAGAAAACCTAAATGAATCAGGTTACTCTCTGTTCTATTACGCGTATGTTTTGAATGTCCATCGGCGACGATTATTACAGGGTTTAAGATAAGCCGCAATCCCGTTTGGTCTGATATTAAAGAATTTTCATTTGTCTTTTATTAGAATTTGTAACGCAGCCCTCGTTATGTGAGTTTAACTGGTCCTTGACCGTTCATTTTATTCATATGTCACAATACGAAAATTTTATGGTTTATTATAAAATATTCAAATTGTTTTTACTTAAAATGTGAATATTTTATATTGCCCGGCGTATGAATATTTTGTATAGCGTGGTGTGACTTGCAATACATTAGTTTTTATTAGACACCTTTACGTTCACGCGAACAATAACTCACCAAATTTTGTTCGTAATCGAATGAATGGTATTTAATCAAATGAAAGATGTACCAACAAACAAATAATTTATATATTATATAAAATGTAAAGAAAGTATATATAGGAAGTATATGGAAGAGACAGTATACATATGACCTTTCTTACTGTCTGAAAAAAATAGGTTGTAACATGTGAAAAGAGTAGAAGCCTATGGCACTGTAAAATATACAAAAAATAAAAGCAAATATTCGAATTAAATACATAAATAAATCAAAATCTATCGAAATTTAAATTATATCTTTTATTATACTTTACGAACGGCAATAAAACAATAAACTTAGTAGGCATTTTTGACTTTGTCACTTCGCAGGGTCATAGGCTCAAAGGCAAAGGGCAAAGTAATTGTTAAAAAAATTCAAACGTTTATTTAAAAATTTTTGGTTTTATTTTTTGTAAAATATCAGTGCAGTCGTAGGCTTATACTCCGTTCACAGTTACACCCTATTGTTTCCAGACCGTTAAAAAGGTCATCCAGTATAGTATGTTTGCGAGAATTGATAAAAATTATGAAAACGTCTCGCAATAGCTGCTGTCGCTAAAGTATCAAAGCTTGTTTATATAGGGCTAGCAAGCCGAAGCTTTTTTAAAATAAATAGCGGGTAGTGCATTGTGTAACGAGCTAAGGAATCCTGCTTTTTAATCGACTCTCGCCGAACAGACTTTGGAGAGTAGTGGTAGCTTAGGGGCTGGCGCCCGCTGTAAATTCCATAGTAGGCGAGAAACCCTTATTCCTGCCGGTACCAATGATATGTTTAATTACAATTTTCAGTCCTGATTTACCACCTGTTCGGCGGTGAAGAAAAACATGTCAAGGAAACGTGCATATTAGAGAAATTGAAAAAATATTCTGAAGACATAAGAAGCCGTGGTAGCTCAGATGGTTAACGCTCGCTGTAAATATTACAGAACGCGAGTAACCCGAGTTCGATCCCCTCCGGCACCAATAAAATTGTTAATTGCAATTTTAAGTGCTGATTTACCACGTGCTCGACGGTGAAGAAAAACATCGTGAGGAAACCTGCATGCCTGAGGAATAAAGAAAAAAATATTTTGAAGACATGTGAAGTTCGCCAACACGCATTGGGGCAGCGCGGCGGACACTTCCTTGCTCTAAAACCCTCTCAGAAATGAGAGGAGGCCTGTGCCCCTGCGGTGGGACGTATATAGGCTGTAACTTTACTTTTAATTTTATAATAAGTTTGCCAACATGCATTGGTGCAGCGCAGCGCGGCGGAATTTACCTTGCCATAAATACCCCCTCACTTGGAAATTTTCTTAGAGTCTCAATTATTTCCAATATGAAATTATATCAAAGACGAGAAAATTAATTTTTGCTTGCGAATCTTCTCAAATTAGTTTCGCAAAAATTAATTTTGTTATTTTAAATATAATGAATTTCCACAAAGTGACGCATGATTCTATTAATTATTTAAAGTTGAAGTTTTAGAAGAGCTCTAAATTAGCCTGAACTTTGGGCTAATAATAATTAGTATTGAAATAAACCGTAATCACTCAGACATATTGACTTTAAAATATCTCTTCTTCAAATCCACACGAATGTAATAATAAATGAGACTGAGTTATTAAAATACGTATAATTGCGTATAATCAACACGGTGTGTAGCGAAGGCGTAATAGCGGATTATGACCCTTGTGTTCGCACGTTTATCAATAGATGGGGCTACTATAATATATTGTGTTTTTGTATATTACGATATAGAGAATTTATACGAATATACAAGCATCTTGGAAAAGTTTAAATTTGTCATCAGACATGAGTTAAACATCCTCTACTAGCGACCGAATCACTCAAGTACATTACGTCACGAGTACTGGTATCTGGTACATTCGGATCGATCATTCAAATGGATCATTTCAGGCTCCAGTACTATGTGAGTCTGTGCGATCCATTGTGAACCGAAATTTTTCTAATTAAGATTCGTAACAGCGCAATTTATTACATGCTATAGGTAATAGTCAATTTATCGAACTAAAACTTATTAACTTTCAAGGTGGTAAGAACAATCGACGCTAGATGGCATAAACACAAAAATCTCAAGTTATTATATATTTTAAATATGTAATAATTTTTTTTATTCTTAAATTTCATTCCTAGCAGCAATACACAATTTCATCTTTCTTAACATGTCTAAAAATAGGGATTATAACATTTCTTTGCTACGAAATTAAACTTTTACCTAACTTATATTTATATAAGATGGTTGAAAATTATCATTAAATAAATCATTTATCATGAAAGCTTTTGCAGTGTTATTTTTAGTAAACTCTACGAAATGATATTCTGAACCATCAATACTTTTAAGAGGTTAGAGTAAGTCAGCTCAAATTCTAATTTCGCCCCCACTTGCCCGCGCGTCGTATGCTATGTACCGAAATATTTGTAATCACTAATACTGTAAGTAGAAAGGTCGTTAGACACTTATTTCATTAGGTTTATCATATTTATGCCTGTTTCTTAAAGCCAAGCCAGCCGCTTCTTATTTTTATCACGGTTATTTCCCATTTTAATTTTACGTCGTACGTTGCGTAATGTATATTCTGATCGTAAGCGACACAACTTCTATCTTCAAAAGCCTAAGCGATACTAACGGAACGACAGGAACAGCGTGACCAGATTTCATATGACGAATCTACTGCTTGTGGAGGTTAAAATCTACTGAATTCTACCAAAACAGAACGAGAAAATACTAAAAATCTATTTATTTTTTGCTGTCGTGTTACAATGTAAAAACATGATTTTTTTTTAGATTAAACGATAAAATAATAAAATAACAAAGAAACAACCATTAATTAAATAAACTAATGTTTTTTTAAACTTAAATTCTAAATAAAAATATAATTTAAGAAAAAAGAATAAAATGAAACTTAAAGTTAAGATTCTTCATCATTTTTTTGTTGGGTTACATTGTCATAAAGCTGTTTTGAGTCCATTAACTTGATCATACTTCTGTCAGGATTAAATCTGCTACATCCTCCTTCCAACTGTCGTAGCCCCTCTTTTCCATGCATTATTGCTGCAACATTCTTATTATTAAATCGATTTCGATCTTGATTTTTAATCCTATTAATATCGGAAAATATTCTTTCTACTTAGGCGTTTGACAAAGGTAGTATCGTCATTTGCTTCACAAATCGGGACAAATTGCCATACTTTGGTTTGCTATTCGCATCACAGATTTGGCTGACTTCGCTCCAAAATTTATCCACCATAAAAGTTTCAGATGTCGAACTAGAAGTTGACAATAAATTAGACACGGAAACATCTAATTTTAATTCCCTATATTCATTGTCAACAATTTGCATGTTTTCGGTTGCAACTATGTTAGGAAACCTTTTGAGTATTCCTATCAGAGTTCGAAATTCACCATACACCGCTTTTTGGGGATCGATGAATGACAAATCCTGCAAAAAATTATCTTGTACAGGCAGTCTTTGCAGAAATTGGTTACTCAGCTCGATCAAAAATGACTGACATCTGTTAAGGAATTCCTCAATTTTAGATCTCATTCGGACATCATCTTTTAATGATTCCAATGTCATTGCTACGTTTGTGCCTAGGTACATGTTTTGTATAGGAAGGAAATGCATTTTTGAACTTGGATCTATTGACTGAAGTGGATTGGTTTTTATATAATTTATCTTCATAAAACAACTCAAAATTGAACTCATCATGTTTTGTATGTCTGTTCCAATTTTATGAATAAGTGTCTGATCACTTTGAAAAATAACGTTAAATTTTGTAGTTATGGGTAATATAAAATCTAAAAAGTAAAGATAAAGTTTTGTCTCATCGCTGTTAAGGTGATCAAATATAAATTGACAAGTAGCATTGGCATTCTTATTCCCTAAAAACTCATTTTGAAAAAAAGTTTTAATGCTGACCACTGCTCTATAATTCGGTGTATGCATTGATGTAGCGAAAGCCACCTGATATCATAATGACGAAGCATATGGTGAGTTGGAGTGTCAGTAAAATTTTGAAATTCCACAGTCTCTTTGTCGTTGGCTACTGTGAGAGAAGTATGAAAAAACATCTTTGACAAACAACTCTATAGAACGAGGTAATTTTTTGCATGCATAACTCACTGAAAGGTTTGTTGAGTGGCAAATACATTTGAAAAAAATGCAGTTTGGGTTGACTTCCCTAATCTTAGATACCACGCTACTCCTTTCGCCGAACATTACATTCGTGGTATCAGCAGCGAACCCTATTAAATTGGCTATAATAAGGTTTTTTTCAGATAAGGCACATGTTAAACTATCAAACAAATCTTGCGCAGTATCACCTTTTAAGTCCACCATACACAAAAATTTTGTTTGTGGAGATTGCAATTTTTCAGAGTAGTACTTTACTGCTACTGCAAGTACCTTGGTAGTACTGACATCTGTGCTCTCGTCGATAATGAGCGAAAATACTGGGCTTCTCTCAGTTTCATTTTCTGGTCTTGGACGTAATTCTGCAAGCATTTTTTCCTCGAGGTTATTGCCTAAGACGTTGTAGGCAATTGCGGCAGATTTAGTTCTTCTACAGGAAAAACGTTTTGCGATTTCGGAGTCGTGAAATGCCCTTGAAATAACTTCGCTTACATGATCCATTACGCGAAAAGGAATATTATGTTCAACTAAGGCAGCTACAATGCTGATTTCTGCTTTTTTACTTCTTCCGAAATGGTTGATGTTTTGAAAATCGTATCAATCTGTAACCAAAGAAGTTAAAAATAATTATACAGGACATTTCATATAGCGCTATGTAGTATCAAATACTAAGCAATTTTTACATAGCATTTAACATGAATAAACACACACATAGTTGTATAGTAATTGTTATGTAAATGCGTAGGTAATAAACGTACATAAAACAGCGAATGTTTGAATTTTGAATGAAAATAAAATTCATGAACTTTAAAACATAATACGGGTTCACACTACTGCGTAAGTTGAAAGTATTAAAAAAAATCTTAACAAGAATAATTAACTAAGAATTACATTCCACATATTAACGTAAGTAACTTGCATACCTGAGAAATGCCGGAATATCCTTTCATATTTTTTATATGCTTTGATGTGGCCATGTGTTCTTTCAAAGACGCCACTCTACTTAGTACTTCACAGTTGCATGCTTTACAATGAGCACTCGTAGTGTTTACCTTAGATTTACATAACCAACTTTTAAATGAGCGATCTTGCTCCCATTCATCGCGATATCCTTGTGTATATTTACGTTTCATTTTAAATTCGATTATAAAAAATCTCAATAAAGGAATTCCCACTAGTCTATCCACATTCCATGCTCAGAAAACGACTAATAAAATTGTGTTGTCTAGTCTATCATTATAGAAGCAACTTTAAAATGATCTAAGTTGAAAGAACTATTTTACAAAAATAGCCTTTATCTATTGGAAAATGAAATTCAATTTGCTATGCCCACAGTACCGTTCATTCAATAATAAGGGAATCCCCCCCCAAATCACTTTCGTGTGCTGCCAACTGTAAAATTAAAACTTTTTGGACGTGGATGCTTGGTTTTAAGCCTAATATTTTTGACAGAGAATTAATACCAAAACCTAACCGATGTGTTTCTCATTTCTACTAAATTCTACTAAGACATTTTATCCTACTAGATTATCATCTTATTTGCTTCAAATCTACTAAAAAAGTAGAAATCTACTAAAAATGGTCACGCTGGACAGGAATCAAGCTCAAGACACCGATAGTTTAGGTAATTTCTTTTTACAGTGAAAATAATGGTATTTTAAAAAAAGTAAATAACATAAGCACTGCTTTATAGTTAGTTCAGTTAGTATGCAAAGTTTCATGATCTTATTTAAAGTATTTTATGAATAACAGCGGTTTATTGTTTATTTTGGAGGTAACTTTGGATTTTTTTTCTATCGAGAAAATTTTACGAAATCGTGTTTTCGTCTAACATAATCACTAACATTAATCCTCAACTTTACCATATATTTATTTCAAAATTAATGCTGCAATATTTTCGGCATAACGAAGGATCTTGCTAAGCCATTTGACATTATATTTCCCCTTAAGTGTACCAGCTCAAACGAAGGAATCATGCATGATTGACACATATCTATTTGTCATCCAATTAGAAGGGTTCAATACGAGCTCAGTGTGTTATTTTTGATGCCCTGAACCATCGGATCGTATACCCCTTGTGTTTGTGGGAGGGGCGGATAAGGATAGCAGCCTGTGGGTCATCGTCGTGGTATTAAGAAGCGACAAATGAAAATAAAGCAGTAAATGGGAAGCAGGAAGCAGCGTCTTTTATTACAATCTTAACATACAGCTCAAAAAAACAATAAAAAGCTGTGATTCGATTGAGCCACCTTCCAAGCGCAGCAACTGTAGCAAAATACCCCCCCCCCCTCATGAGCCATTTTTTAAATAGAATTAGGATGATAAACGAGCACACAGTCCACATCATGGTAAGTGGACGCTGTAGCCCATGGACATCGACATTTATCCTCAATTTAGAATTAAAGTGCAGACGCGTTGTCAGCCCTAATGACTACACTACACTAAGATGGAACGCCCCGTTTCCAATAAAGAGAATATCCGGTTCTCTACATTCACCATATGAAATATTGGTACGTTGCTATTGTGTGAGAGTGTGGTACTTCCCTGGTCGAGTAAACCTATTTCTACTACAACCGCAATATAGATGCGGCATGTGTTCTGCCACGTATGAAATGAAATACAATGTATGAACCGCAACCAATGTGAGAGGCGTATTTCAGCAGTCAACTTTTAATGGGTTATATTGTATGAATTAATGATAATCTAAGCAATTTTTTAAACAAATTTGTAGGAAAGACTTTTTTGTCAGAATAAGGTATTCATCGTTCATACACATTTGTTATTCTGATCACACTCATCTCGTATTGCAGTTTTCCGTGTTTTATTTCATTGATGTGAAGTCGGTATCCGATATTGCACTTCCGTACAACATTCGTCACCGTGATGTCCGATCGTTGAGTCTTTTATTTATCGATAGTTTTCTTATTATCAATCAGCACGTTACAACCTACTCACTGTCTCTACAAGGTATAATAAATAATAATAAATAATCTTTATTACAATTAAATTTATTACAATTAAATAATCTTTATTACAATTAAATAAAGTAACAATAAGAGAAATAAAAATAACAAGCCATAATAAAAATCAAAACCATGTGTAGCTTAATAATGTAGAATCTACAAAATAAATTTTAAAAGTCACATTTATAATATTAGCTACCTGCCTGAATTAGGTTGAGTGCCTTAGTTTCAATGTTGTTGGCCCGTGGTAGCTCAGATGGTTAACGCTCGCTGTAAATATAACAGAACGCGAGTAACCCGGGTTCGATCCCCGCTGCCCGCAAATTTTAAGTGCTGATTTACCACGTACTCGGCGGTGAAGGAAAACATCGTGAGGAAACCTACATGTCTGAGGAATAAGAAAAAAAAATATTTCGAAGATATGTGAAGTTTGCCAACACGCATTGGGGCAGCGCGGCGGACACTTCCTTGCCCTAAAACCTTCTCAGGTAATAATGTAGTGTAATATATAATAACTAAATAACTAATACACTCTAATACACATATATATATATATATATATATATATATATATATATATATATATATATATATATATATATATATATATATATATATATATACCTCGGGATCGGTTTGCAAGTTTGAAAATTAGAATTTAATTGCAACCTATAATGAAAAATATGCTGTGGGTACTGAAATCCATGAATACGCAACGATTTCAAACAAAAATGCATTGTCAGCTCTGAGGACTAAGATGGAATGCCTTACGCGGCTCGTACTTATATTGACTCTCTATACTCTTCAGACCGTAACTTGATATTGCACTTCTGATTGGAGACAGACATCAGTAAGAACTCGGGCAGAAAAAAAAATCCTAACACCTAGTTTCGCATTCAGAAAGCATCTCCAGTGTTCCTTAGCGTAAAATATTATTTTCAGATTTGTATTGTTGTAAATGTTAACAAACAATACTCGTATCATCATTAAAATAAAAAGGTGTAGCATCGTTGATGAAATTTTGATAAGAGAGCAGCTAAGTTTTAAGCATAAACGCAAATTATTTAAAACAATTTTATTAAAATTTTGTAATGATATGGATTATTTAATGATGCATTACAAAGACAATGTATTTCCATTCTTCTTAAATTAAATATGAATGTATACCTTTATTTATATTATATTAAATATCGATATTGATAGAATATTGTCCAATCCTAAACTGTAGCGAAAGAAGAGCTTTTTGTGGGATTGAAACTTTTTGACTCAGAGGGATTGTTATCCGCAAAGTACCTTTAAACGTATGCGCTACTTTTGAAATAGAAATTGTGATAGATGGATACAAAAATTACATAAAAAATAACATATGTTTTGATTTGTTTAATTCATTGCGTGTTTTTGTGTACATATATATTAAATTTTGTAAATATATGAGAGGATAAAGTTAAAATATTTATTCCTTTTAATTTTTCTCTTAGGGATTCCTTTGGCCACAAGTTATAAATTGCTCATATGGATCTCTCTCTCTCTTTTGCAAAACAAAAAGAGTTTCAATATCAGTCCCGTTCGACATATGTAAGGCCTCTGATATTTTATACAGCATATGCTGCAGAACTAAATTTGCTAGCTAGTTTTTCTTTTAAATAGAGTATGGGTGCCAAACGAGCACACAATCTACCTGATGGTAAGTGAATGCCGTGGCCCATAGACATCTACATTTATCTTCAACTAAGAACCAAAATACAGATGAGGATTTTTTTTCCTCTAAAAAAACGTTATTTCTACTTCAAAATTTAATTAATACGTGCGAGACACAAAACCCAGACTCTCAGCAACGCAGCCACATGCTTAGCTACTGCCCACAGTGAATTTAACAAGGCTTAGCTCTTTCCCATTGAAAAACATGCTGTTTAATATTATGTGTGGTGAATTTAACACATTTCGTTTTATTACCGTTTAAAAGGAAATTGTTGACGTTAAACCAGTTTATTACTCTATTATATTGCATTATTCACTTCGTCACACATTAGAATCTAATAATTGCCGTATACGTTAAGGGAGGAGTGTTACAAGGCTGCGGCTGAAAGTCGCTCAATGTGGCACCCCATTCCCTTAAGATGAGCGGGAGACTCATGACACGATTTGGCTAGAAGCCGTGCTGATCATACAATTGATGGTGACGCCTTACAGTTACACCACGTCTGCGGGAGCGGCGGTCCTGGCAGGTGGTACCGCTCACGGTGGGCATTTTATGTGCCTATTAATTTGACGAGTGTCTAAAACCACATGACGTACATTCACAGTGGCTGGATTTGATCGTATTCTCTATGGCGTTTTGCACGCATTGACATGCGAGACTACAGGCGATGTTTACTGGTTTGCCAGTTATTTTGCTGTGGACTATGGTACAATACCCACTTCCCTCCTGTTCGTGGAGAGCGCGTTAATTGGTTGGCGCTTACCGCACGCGGCATTGCCTTGTGTGGATCCACGTGCCTCCCCCACTTTTTTAAAATGTAGGAGGTCTTGATAAATTTC